ATCTATCTATCTATCTATCTATCTATCTATCTATCTATCTATCTATCAAGGCCTACAGTACCTGAGTATAGCGCCATCTTCTGATGAAAATGCAGCTTTGCAGGACAGGACTTCATGTTTCTTCCAGGGCTTCCAGATTGTTCTGATAAGTGGAATTGGGTAATTTCTGGGTGACTGGTAACACAGCTGTAAGTTTAACTGGGCTAAATGTACACTAATGAACATTCTCATTAGTATGTCCTTTCTCTGTCTTGTCTTCTGCCGAGCTCAGCACATCATTGAAGGGTGCAGGTATAACATTTAGTTATTTAAATGTTGATGGTTTATTTGAACAACTAGTCAAGACTGTCAGTAACATGCAGGATGTGGGACATTTCATTGAAAGCACAATATTTCTTAACCTAAGGTTTTTTTTGTGTGATGCAAAACATGTAATTAACCAAAAATACAGAAGTAAATGCAGAAACATATACCAGCAAACTTTGTCTGTTGCTTGTAAGTGATAAGTTTTATAGAAAATCACACATGTACTGTGCTGTACTGACATGAAATTGTGTTGTGCTTCGGTGCAATGACAATAAAGGCTGATTCTGATTCTGATTCTAAATCAGATGAGAAGAATCGGAAGAAAAGTCACGTTTGTCTAAAATAAACCCTGAGACACTGTGATTGTTTCTTCAACAGAATATCAAATGCTACAGATATTGTTTGTTTCCACCACTGTACAAGCAAAAAGAAACCAACATGTCTGTGCTAACTTTGCCTCAATAACTCAAACCTCATTTTACTTAAAGGTGATTAAAACAGAACAAGGATCCAATGAGTCTCAGATTTATAAATCAAACGGTTCTGATGCTAGAAGCTCCATGAACACTAATAAAAAACGTTAAATCAGGTCAAAAAGAAACTGTCCCGACAACCTGATTGAAACTTGCTGATAGAGCTTACAATCCTTTTTTCTCCAGAGCACATCAACTAAGACAACAAAACTCTAAATATTCAGGATTTGTTGTTCGTTATTTCTATTGGATTACATTTGTTTTAGCTACATGAAAAAATAGAAACTAGCTCAAAAACAACACATTTTCAGACTTTTTGTTTACATATATATATATATATATATATATATATATATATATATATATATATA